GCAATGGATGTCAAATGAGTCAGTCTGCAAGTAATAACCAGTGGTGGATCCAAGGGTGGGTCATATGGGTCATGACCCCCGCCCCTTGGGGCTCGGGGACACCACAGGCCTGCCAGGGGCACCAACGGCCTGTCAGGGGCACCACAGGCCTGTTGGGAGCACCATCGACCTAGCAAGAGCACCATAGGTCTGCCAGGGGCACCACAGACCTGACAGGGGTCCCACCGACCTCGCAGGGGCACCTTGGGCCTGTCAGGGGCACCACGGGCCTGTCGGGGCACCACAAGTTTGTCAGGGGCACCACAGACGTGTCAGGAGCACCATCGGCCTAGCAAGAGCACCATAGGTCTGCCAGGGGCACCACAGACCTGCCAGGGGCCCCACCGGCCTCGCAGGGGCACCACCTTGGGCCTGTCAGGGGTACCACCACAGGCCCGCCAGGGGCACCACAGGCCTGCCAGAGGCACCACAGGCCTAGCAAGGGTACCACGGACCTGTCAGCGACACCACGGGCCTGTCGGGGGCACCTCAGGCTTGTCAGGGCCAAGGGACACCACAGTCCTTTCAGAGGCACCACAGGCCTGTCAGGGGCACCACAGGCCTGTCAGGGGCACCAGAGGCCTAGCAGGGACACCAAATGCCTGGCAGGGGCACCACCGGCCTCGCAGGGACACCTTGGGCGTGTTAGTGGCACCACGTGCCTGTCGGGGACACTCCAGGCTTGTCAGGAGCACCACAGTCCTGTCAGGGCCCAGGGGCACCAGCGGCCTAGCAGAGGCACCACCGGCCTAGCATGGACACCACCGGCCTTGCAAGGGCATCATGGGCCTGTCAGGGGCACCAGGGGCCTGTCATTGGAACTTCAGGCTTGTCAGGGGCACCACAGTTCTTTCAGATGCACCGGCGGCCTAGCACCATGGCACCATGTTTGGCCGGGATCGCGGTTCGGCGTATGTCGCCTCGCATTAGCCGCGCGTTTGGCAGTCTTTTCGTGGTTTCAAACGTTCAAAACATGGGATATGATGTTGCTCTCATGCATTATGGCGGGTGTCAAGGTCACCGGAAGGTCAGGTCAGGTCATTTGCCTTTGATGACCTCGGTTCACATTCCGAGTTTTATATGTTTCTACTTAGGCTAGTTTTTGGAGCTGAATTCAAATTTAGCAACCATTTGACCGTTTACACAGGGTGTTTCAAAAGTTCGTTGACAGGTACCAGCCAGGCTTTTTTTGTCAATAATTCGGAATCAACAAGAAATTAATAGTCAAAATTTTGCATGGGCATTGGTGACAACCTTCCTCAAGCAGTTTCATTGTTTTCAAGCGCATTCGACCCTTCATGAGCTCACAAATAAGGTTCACCTTTGACCATGGATCAGACATGAAAGTGGAGGTCGCAAAATCGGGTCGGCTGAGAAGCAGACAGCAGACTCGTGCTCCGAAGAGCACCTGAATATGCAGTCCTAACTATTGAAAACTGACTAGAAGCTAACAGACAAAGGTTACCCAGTTTCAAAAATTGCAGGTCATCATAAAATAAAGACAAAGACAAGTGACCCTCCAAAAGTGTCAATTAATGTTAAGTTTTATCTTACGAAGTTTCAAGAGGCAGATCTGAAGCTAATAGCTTTCTTTTACACACAAAATTCGGACAAAACCGCACGATGGACATGTTTTGGTCGTTCACAAAGCAGAACCTCTCCTGAGGAAAACACTCCGGAACCTAGCGAAGGTCTTGGCATGGGAAATGACGAGCGTTTGGGATTTGCAAAATTTGCACAATGTGTCTAAGAAACAGATGACCGACACATTTTGCTACGATATGCTGCGAAAAAATTGCCGCTGGCACCTCCCATTTGTTCAAGAATGGGGTTGTTTTGAAAAGGAAAATGGTACTTGGGAGGTCGGCGCCAGTCATTCATGAAGGAGTTGGTGCCAGAGAAGACCTACGAAATACTCACGGATGGTGTCGATGCAAGCTGTCGGCTTTAAGGGAGAAGCGGATGTTGCCAGGAAGCTCGTCAAACCTAACTCCGACGCAGAAACTGCAGGGGATTCCCCTGCAAGAGCTTGAAAGTTGAAAGCTGGTAACCTTTTATCAGCCTCCGGCAGCTGACGGAGCGACGAAAATCGGTATGGGCAAATATTTTTGGAGATACAGCAAAGGGTTTGGTTTCTAACCTTCCGAATCAGTTGTCAAAGCATGCATATTTGTCTAGTGTACACACAGACACCAAAACCTTAGATTTTTGGCCGGTTCTTATATGCTTTATTGGCATGGGAAATGTGTCAAGGAACTTTTGAGACACCCTGTAGTTCTGGTGCCTTCGTAACATGTTACGGAGCTGTCAGAGGCGGTTGTCACCAGCTACGAATACCCGGCAAAACCCTTACTGGTTGACCTGACCTGACCTGACCTGACCTGGCCTAAATGCATGAAGACATCATCTATGATCATAACTAAGATGATATTCGTGATCAGCACCCCGAAAAAAACATAGCAGCCACCCTTTACTATGCTCTAACTCCCGATTTTCCCGACTTTTGGGTCATTGACCTGACCTGGAAGGTCAACCGATGACCTAGGACCTTTAAATTGGGTATCATCGGCTTCCTTTCATCACGGGCAACACGGTCGTTTTTTCCGCGAAGCTCTAACTCGATCAGGGGCGAAACAGCAAGGGGGAGGGTCCAACGGACCCCCCCCCCCCCCATATATACGTTCGCAGCTGGAAAACACCAATACGGGCGAGGGTTAATGGAATTATTAAAGACAATTTTCCAGGTTGCCCCCCCAGTCAAATTCCCTTAAAATAGGCTCTGCGGACAGAGACACTTTCGTAGTACCACAGGTACAACTCACCCACCCACCAACCCGTTGGTCAGCGACGATCAGTTGATGCCCTGTCCAGTGTCCACTATCGCGGCTTCAACAGATCGGGCAAAGGGGGCGGGAGACAGCTGCGACAGCTGAGTTGGAAGGCTGTTGAGTAGAGCTGCGGCTCGATAGGCGAACCGCCGCCTACCCGTTTCCAGCCGTGGTCGCGGAAGGTGAAAGAGGTGGTCTTGCCTGGAGTGTCTCTCCCGAACAGCGCTGTTTGTGACGAACATGGTTGCTAATTCCTCGGGTTTGCCGCGCTGAATGGCTTTGTGGGCGATAACAAGGGTTTGGTAATCAGCCATATGACGCGGGGACAACCACCCGAGCTTTTTTCGCAGGTCAGAGACATGGGCAAATCTACGGCGACCGAAAATGACTCTAGCAGCGAAGTTCAATTTTTTTTTGGAGACGATCGAAATTTTTTTGGGACCCATTGCCATAAACTGAGAGGCAGTACTGGATGCGTGAGATAACGAGTGCTGTCACGAGCGTTCTAATGATGCCATCCGGGAGACTGTGGCGCGCATGGGAGAGACCGATCAACAGTCCCGTACACCGGCGGCTGAGTTCGGAGACGTGAGCGTCCCAGGATAGAGTACTGTCAAAAAGTGATGCCCAGGTTCCCCACCTGCGCGCACGGCTGCAACGCTGCGTCACGAAACGATACCCTGAAATCTGGCAATTTGCGTAAATTTTGACGACTGCCGAAGACAATGAGCTGTATTTTACTGGCGTTGACCTTCAGGGCGTTAGCGCAGAACCATTCGTTGAGTGACGCGAGCGAAACCTCCATGCGCGAGATGAGAACTCCAAGGTCCCTGGCAGGACCGCTAACCAATGCTTGGGTGTCGTCGGCATATTGAAAGACTACTGCATCACCCGAATATGGGTCCCTGTCGTCTCCCATACGAGTATAGTTAGTTGTCGGTGATAGACTTAACAGGAAAGTTGATCCTTTAATACTCGGGATGACATAAATGACGTGGTTTACGGAGCCAAAGATGAGCCAAAGCTGAACATAATTAATTCAGTAGCATCTTTAAAAAGATCTTCAGAAGATCACTGCAAAGATCCTTCGTCGTATTCTGAAGAAATGGCCAAATGTCTACATAGCTGCCGATCTTCACGCAGTCAGGCGGTGGCCGGTCACTTCGGAGGCCGAGTTTTCTCCTGGCTATATCTTGCACGGGCCAAGCATGGGCGGTGCCTGCCATAGCGTGACCAGATCAGCTACTGATACACCCATCTTTCCCTGCTCCTCTCACCCTCCCCTCCGCCGCGCCATGGCCCGAAGAACGTCTTTTTTAATTCCGGGAGATCCACTGATCATAGTGCTTCGTATGTAGGAATCGAACGCTTGAACGCATATTTAGTTGTTTGGTCATTGCCAGTGCAGCGCATTTATACGTCTATTGGCTAAGAGACCGATAACAAAAATTGTAATGACTGGTTGGTGGGCATGGTTGGCTGCTCATTGCTGCTGCTGGCTTGTAATATTCACGGCGTTCTGGACTTGGAAAGCGTCTAAGGAACTGAGTGGTGTCCTCTGCCCTCTTTCGCGAATTATAATTTTGGCGAAAGGATAGGATATCCGATAGTTCTCACTTGATGAAGCCTGTTAAAATATATAGCGGTTGGCGAAATATTATTCTCTTCCTCAGTGATAGGTCACGCATCGTTCATACTCCACACCCATATTTTATTGATAGTTGTCCTTCCACGCTTCAACAACCATGAAAGCACCATGAAGCGATGTGTTCCCACGTTCAAATCGCTGCCACGTGCCTACCCCACGACCGTTCCCACATCAATTTGACCGTGAGATTCGCGCGCTACTACGATGATTCGCCGCCGCCATTTTCACGTGCTGGGGTCATCTAGGGTCGCGCCAGTTCCCTCCTACGCCCCCGCCTGCCGACGAAACAGCAGTGCATTTTTATCGGGGACCGCACTTTCGCCCGCGGCTAAACTAGACGGCCGCCACCGTCCGCCGTCGCGGTACACATTCCGACTTTGGTAGCGGCGTCACCCCGCGTCCAAAGCCACAGCGCTCCAATCACAGCGTAGTTCGCATTCTCGCCACGCGCGGCGCTAGTGTCCGCCAACCCGCGGCCAATTTTTGTCAGTCGTGATTGTAGCGCGAGGGGTGAGGGTGCCGCGCCGCTGTCCGGTGTTTTCTGAGAATGTCTGGCTGCGCGCTCAGGTAGTGCGATGGAGGTGCACTGTTGGAGGATCGGATGGACCCTGTTTGTGTGTCTGGCTGCTGCTGTTACCACGGGAGAGGCTCTCACATGTGACTGGAAAGGGAGGTGAGTTGTTAGAAGACAGGTGGATGAGGGCCGCCGAGGTAACAGGTCACAGGTGTTTTGAGCTGGGGTAACGCCTAGAGGCTCACTGTGCGCTGGTATGAGGCATTGGTTATCGTGTAGACTAGTCAGAGTGCATGTAATAGCTTCGCGGTCAGTTTTGTGCTTTGGAAATTACAATTTTGTGATCGGATGTCCCCGGCCGGCATCTTCCGAGCGGGTGTAGGTCTGAGGTCATTTCAATCGCCCTGGTATCGATAGGATCAATGGGCCCGTGTCGCTCTGTTAAAGTGCCGACCACTGCATACATTTATACGCTTATATATTGGTGCTTAAAGCCCGAGCATTGTCGCCTGAGCCCCTTCTTGCTCGAAACGGTGCGAAATCGGCTGTTTATCCTCCTTTAAAAATGGTTATTTTTAGCCTTCCTATCAATATCGGTTTTATTCTGTATCGAACTGCTTTGTTTTCCGCGGCATATTTTTTGTACCCATCTCTTCCCTCGAAATCCAGCGTAATCATTTGTGGTCTTGCCACGGAAGGCGGTCTTTTTTGGGTCCAGGCGGGCTCGTCTCTCTCTCTCTCTCTCTCTCTCTCTCTCTCTCTCTCTCTCTCTCTCTCTCTCTCTCTCTCTCTCTCTCTCTCTCTCTCTCCCTCTCCCTCCCTCCCTCCCTCCCTTTCTCCTCCCTCTGTCTCTCTCTCCTTCTCTCTCTCCTCTCCCTCTCCCCGTTTTACCCGTGTCCTGCACGTGCCCAGTGCAGGGATGCACCTTGCAAGGTGCACCGAGAATCATTTTTCCTCCTGCGAGTGATAGTACTGACACGATTGCTATCGGCCTTCGGGCTGCAGTGGCCGTACGAGTGTTGCAGAGATATGACCCACGTAGAAATACGCACGTAGTTACTACGCACAGCTACGCTCGGAGTTAGGGACTACGGCTGCTCCATATAGAAACGTCTGTGTGTAGCGATAAGTGCATGTGAGACTCCAATTTGGCTTTCGAAGATGCTGTAAAGAATTGCCGTCGCCAGATTTGCAACATGTGTGACGTGGGAGTAGGAAAGATATAAGGGAAAAAGTTAAAAACTGGCCCTCCTGTAATCCGCTTAGTTGGCTTAGTGGTCCTGGGAACGAGTCATGAAGGTCTAATGATAATCTCGGGACCAGTCTGGATGGTCCAGTGTGGGGACCATATCGGATGGTCCACTCTGAACAAGGACCGACTCAGTTGCAGAATCTGATAATTGATATCGACTTGAGTTTGATCCTGGGACCGGCTCAGTTGGTCCGATCCCGCGCGACCAGCTCGGATGGTCGCTGTCCTGACTCCTCTCATGACTCTTCTCATGACTCCTCCCCTGACCCCTCTCCTGACTCCCTGACGCCTCTCCGGACCCACTGACTCCTTCCCTGACTCCTGACTCCTCTACTACTACAATTACTGATCATCTGTCGGCTCATATGATGCCCTCCTATGATCGCCGCTGATATCTCGTGTCCAGCCTGACTCGGTTGCTATGCCTCTGAACCAGCCTGGTTCTCACGCCTGTTCAAACAGTGCGTGATTCCCACGGGCTCAGTCGTGACACCGCCAATCGAGCGGTCTCACGGACCGCGATCTAAGCCGTCTTCGAACGAACCGTGTCATCTGTCGTCTTCCGTGGTGTTACTGAACTCGGGGACATCCCATGAACCGTTCACACCGTCGCACAACTCCGGCTTAAAAAAATCCCACGCATGTTGTTGCTACGCGGAAAGCGCGTGCGTCATTCAAATCTCGCCGTCTGGCTAGCGTTCCCGCGGTTTGGTGTTAGCGCCCTACCAGCTGTGGCGCGTGCGAGTCTCCCAGACCGTGGGAATGCCGGGGTGCACGACTGCAGCGCCCGTAGGAGAGTAACACCTGTTGAACGCGCGCCGACCGCGCTCGCGCCAAAAAAACGAGGACTGATAACAATGGGGATTAAAGCTGGATGAAGTCACAGTGGCTAGGACGAGCGGTTTCTAAGGTAACAGCCAACAGGTGTAGTGTGGGAACTGGGAATGGGAGAAATTTGTTAGTAAATGGCAGTTCTTTTGGGGGATTAATTTATTCCTTTAATTCGGGGGATTGGAAACCTGTCAGGAGACACTACTCTGCCGAGCTGCTCTCTGCGTAGAGGAATTACAGAGCTGTCTACTGTCTAGACTTATAATACTCGTACTCTACCGGTGGACTTGTCCGGATCTAAGCCAGCCGACTTGTCCAGAATTATGCCGGCACAGTTGTCCGAGACTCCGAAGACACCGTCAGACCTGCCCGAAGACGCCGCCGACACCGGACGGCTGGGCCACCGCACCAAACCGGCTGTGCCGGTCGCTCGGCTCGGGACCCCTGCCGAGTTTCTCTACAAACCTAACTCGAGTCAGCGCCGGTTAGTCGGCCGGATGATTCAGATGACTCATTTGTTATTCATGGATGAACTGGTGATGAGCTGGTGATAGTGCTGCACAGTATCTGCGCGTGCTATAGACGCCATTGGTGCCAACGTGCAAGTCATCAATGTCGAATGCGGCGGTATTGCTGATTTATTTTTATTTTACGGTTTGTAGCTATTCTGATGGTTATCAGTTTTTCATCGAGTCAGGGATGCCAAAAAGGTAGACCAAATAGCAAATCAATATGGCAAAGTCGCCCGCAGCGCAGTTTTTCGGTCGCAACCAGCGCAATTTACCGTTATCACCATTAGCGGTATCGCCACCACACGTTAGTATCGCGGCCACTACATTACTTACTAGGTAGTCATTCCTACCACCGCAACACTGCTCCGGACCTTGCCTCGGACAATACGGTACCGCAGTGGCAGCCGAGCAATGCTCGCAAAAACTGCCGTGTCGAACCCATGGTATGTGGACGCGGGACCGTCATATGGCCTGACCGATACTTCCGAAGGACCCGGTACCATGGATTCCTGCGCGGGTCAATATGGCTGCCGCCTGCCTGAGTGCCTTCCGGAGTGCTGGGTGGATTATCGGATAGAGTGCGTTATAATGCAGCTGTAACTTAGGAGGACAGTGTTACAAAATTAAATATCATTTGTTTTAATACATGACAACTTATTTCCATGTTTATTGTCATGGGTTTATTTTATGATTGATTGGTTTGGCAGGTGTGTTGTCATATCTAAAAATGTATCCTGCTTTATAAGAACGACCGGGTGCTTAAGACCAGATCAACTCTGTGCGCGGGACGGGTGATACCGTGGCTGACATCCTACACATAAAACCTGTCTCACTTTCCACCAACGCTCCCACTAATTTGGTAAAGTCGCCACTCTAATTCGACGCTCGTTTTTCCTGCTCGCGCTCCTTTTTTCACCCATCCTCGGTCGTCGAGCGGGACGGTACAGTACACGACACAACCGTACGCCCATTACCTCGCAAGGTAATTAACCAATCACGAACATAAAGCGTCTGTCTCGGGTGGCGACATCGTCCAGTTTTCCTCGTCGCGAGGACATTTCGAGTGAAGGGAGGGGTAGTCAGGCGCCTGTCATCACGCACGAGGGGCTAAGCGTGCGCTAGTGAAGCCAATTCGGGTGTAGGCGGCCACCCGACGCCCGGCAAGAATCTCGTATTCCAGTTTGGGTTTGAAAAGTTACGAGTTTTCGCTTTTCGTTGCCATATTCCCGCATTTTAACCACAACTCGTCGTAAGTGGTATAAATCAAGCCACTCCTGCGATAGGGGAGAGTGGGGCAAGATGCCCCCTCGGGTAAGACGCCCAGTACCCTCTATTGTTAAAAGTAGCAACGTTGAGGTGTTTATCATGGTCCCTGTGTAAAGTAGAAGCAAAGATTGGTTACTTATAAAAAAATGTGTGTCTTTGGTGAAGTTTGGGACGCGGATGAGCAAAAATGTATTTTTGCTAGTTTTGTACTTTTGTTTGGTCCCATTAAATGCAACAATTATTCGTTTAGTTTATCAAGTACCCTATTTCTTTGTTTTTGTATGTGCATCTGTAACCTTTCCCTCTTAATTGACGCCACAATAAACTGCATTTCAACTGCAGTTATTTTTTGGGCATATCGTTCAATGTAAGTGGACACAAACGTGTAAGACGCCCAGGTATTTGCGGGGAAAGACGCCCCTAAATCAGGTCTAAGGTCGCAGTGATAAAGTGTCCGTTTGGAAAAATCTGAGATATAGGTACCTACAAGTTGTGAAGACTTGGCAGCTTGCTATATAATCTAAGTTTCATCTCTCTGTGAAAGATTCCTTCGCACTGAGAGCGTTTCGACATTTTTGGACCAAGCAAAGGCTCGCTTGCAGCGTGATCGTCATAAGGAAGCATCACAAATCAGTAACATAACCCGACCTGAAAAAGACTTTGGTGTCAAAAGATCCTCATTGAATCAAAGGTCAGTGATGCCCATTATTAGCTCTCTATCCCTAACGTATTCCAAACAATCGTGAGCCGTTGTAGTATTGTGCATCTTTCCCCACGGGGTGGGCGTCTTACCCACCCAAGGGGTAAGATGCTCGAAATGACTTGCTCGAGGAAAACGCGTATTATTCCTAACAAACGCATTCTGCGGCGGCTATGTGTAATTGATCAGTTGGTAAAATGATTACACTTTAATAAAATTGCTTTTTAGCGACAAACTTCCTCAAGTTTGCCCGCGAGAGCATTTTTAGCTTAACGGGGGCGACTTGCCCCACTCTCCCCTAAATGATGTCCATGCGCCAAAAATAGCTCAGTTTTGATTGCGCCAGATCGCTGTTAGCCTTATTTACACACAGCTCAATTGTCCATAACTGCCTTTGACCATGGAAGCAGGCCAACCATCCAATCACATATACTCTTGCAGGCGTGGGTATAGCTCAGGCAGTCGTGTGCCGCCCGGCGGCATATTTGGCGATATTTGACATTTGTGGCGCGGGTCTCTTTGGCAACCCGTTTGCCAACTGGATGAGCAGAAACCGGATCTTCCGAGTCTCGTTTTGTATCATATCGTGCCGCGTGGTCTGGTGGGGGCTGTCGCGGTGATACATCCTTTGGTTCTTCAAATTTTACTTGCATGATCTTGTGCAACGTCTCTAGGAACGGATTCCTAAAGTGCATCTATGTTGTGTTGCATAACTGAAATATGAACAATGGGCATGTGATATTACTCAGTTTTCTAGATACAAAGTTGCGTTGCCTTACTTTGGTCTAGTGCTCAATTTTTAGCTAGTCACGGGCGGTTTCTAGGTAGGGGAGTCCCATATTCCTTGCGTGAATATCGATTTATTCTGGCCCATAACACCTGTTCACTTGTCTGATTCACCTGTTGTCAAGTGCGATCCACCTGTCCACCTGTTCATTGTTTCTCCCAGCATGCCGAGAATGGATTCAATGGAGAATGGACGCATGGTTTCAATCGGTTATCTGACCTCCCGGGCACACCACAAAACTGTAGTCTCAGGTCTGTCTACTTGAGGTCGACAGGCTGGTCTGTCCTGCAAGGTGTCCGTTAGACAGAGACTATTAGTCTATCATTCTCGAGGTCTGCTATCCTCTATAGCAGTCTGCACTCCCTGGCGTCTGGCAAAGTAGTTTTCGCCACATCGTTTAGGCGTTTAGTTGGTCATTTCGCTTCTCTTGGCTCGCTTATGGGCCACTTTTAGGCTAGTTAACTCATTTAGGTGTTGCTCAGTGGGCCATCTCCTCAGTTGTTGCGCCGTTTGCCTAAAAAAAGTCAATGTTGTGCCGTGTGCGTTCCTACATGTTTTCGTAACTTAATCCATCATCCATTATGCGTGTCCGGCTTGTTCGTCTTGTCCGCCTGTCTCTTGACTCGCGGCCACTCTTCGGTCCCGCTCGGCCAAAAACGGCACCGATCAAACGGCACGCTGCTAGCCTCCGACCGGTTCCGCACAGTCACGCACAAAAACTCCGCACGCGGACGAGCGGCCGGCCGCCTCGGGGGCTGGCGGAGGCCGGCCGGCCGCCTCAGGGGCTGGCGGAGGCCGGCCGGCGCACACCGCCGCGTGCCGCGTGCCGTGCCGCGCCGCACGGGCTGGCCTGGAGGCCGGAGGGATGGTGCCTTGAGGGACGGGGATGGAGGGTGGATGGCGGATGGAGGGACGGCGCTGAGGATCGGAGGGAGAGAGGGATGAGGATTGAGGTCAGCCGGAGGGAGGGTGAAGGGACAGGAGGGATGAGGCGGCGAGGCAGGATTGGGAAGGAAAGAGAAGCAGGAGGCTGCTGTGATTTGTGTGTAGTTTCTGCATAGATCGATGCCTGTGCTGAGACATTTTTGGGTTTGATCGAGGCTCAGTTTTTTCAATGGCAAATCATAATAGTCATTGCTTAATGGTAAAAAAGCGCATGTTGCGGGCTGGACGAGGTGACAGCTAGCTCCTACGAACACAGGTCGATTATCTGAAAATATATAACTTTAATAACTGATTCATTGTGGTCCCTTTAAATGAACAAAAAAAAGTCCCGGAGATCGTGTCAGTCCTTTCAGGGCCGGTGTCCGCTCCTATCTGTCGAAATACGCCCCGAGCTGCATCCTTTTCTGCTCCACTAACCCTTCCACCGCCGATCCCTGTCCTATCCGCCTCCCTCCTCTCGCTCCATCTCCTCTCTCCCTCTCGCTCCATCTCCTCATCTCTCCCCAGACAGACTTTTTCTTCGCCACTGTCCCCTAAATTAGCCACGCTTCTGCACACGTGCACTGCCGGAGGATAGAGGGCCTAATGACTACCCTGGTAGACCTCTGTGGTTGGGTAGGGGTGCCGGTGACGACTGACCGCCCCTCGTCGGTCCAACCCCCCCCCCCCCCGGGGGGGAGTGAGGGAGGCTGGTTTGACGACGCCCGTCACGCGCCCAACTGCCAAGACCGGCCGCCGTAGACCTTCCATTAGTCGAAGATAAAAACCAATGTTAATGGCTGGTTTGCGGAGCCGGACAGGACACAAGACGAGCCCAGAAATTTACCGGTTGGTAGGGTTGATGGAGGCGTAGAGGCGATGAGAGAATAGGTATTAGGGCAGTAAGTAACGTAAATGGTGTATTGTAACCCTTCACAAAGGTGGGTGAGGTTTTCATGTTTCGCGTCAGACGGCATACGCAATATGGCGTTGCGATGCGGGACAATATCATGCTTAACACGACAGTGTTACAGGCAGAGCATAGCGGTGGTGGGTGTGGGGGTATGGCATATGAAAGGCGTGAGCTGGGCCAACTTCTAAGATATCATCTGAACAGAGGGGTGTTCTGCTTGGTAACCATGACAATCCAAACAAACCGACCTATAAAACACACCGGAAGGTCTGTTTATAACACGAAATTCACACAGGAATTGTGTGGAATCTGTCGTCTATGAGGTATGCCGATAGTTTGGACAGTTACTCAGGCGACGCCACGTCCAACTACAAACAGTGCTATGGTAGGGCCGACAGGAACCTACCCAGTTCCGTGGACGCCGACCGGGCCAAAGTCCGATGTCTGGGCAGCGTTCTTGCGATAGCGTCGCTGGCACAGAGGTGGACTTTTCAACGAACGGCGACACCCTATTTTTTGATTTCCTGATTTGTGAAACCTAATTTTCCACTTGTGATTTTATTCACTCATCTGATGTTTGAGTTGTTGTTTTTCGATACTGACCTTTTCACCTCTTCACACTGATTTTTTTTCACTTATACAGCGTCTGAGATGCGTCCACGCTCGTAATGCCTGCTTTGTTTATTCTCCTACCGCCTGCTTTGTTCACTTCTTCAACATGATTTATCCTCTCCGACATCCCTAATTTGTTCCCCTAACTCCTGATTTATTCACCCCTCAAACTCATCATTTGCTTCCTTCCTCACCCCTCTCCCGTTCTCTCTCTCTCTCTCTCTCTCTCTCTCTCTCTCTCTCTCTCTCTCTCTCTCTTTCTCTCTCTCTCTCTCTCTCTCTCTCTCTCTCTCTCTCTCTCTCTCTCTCTCTCTCTCTCTCTCTCTCTCTCCCCCTCCCTCCCTCTCTGTCGAACGGTGTCTGACGCTAGCTCGGGTCAATAATTATTCATTCGGCGGTCGGAGGCCGGCCCCCACCGGGCTCTAATTGGTCGGCTGTGGATCAGAGGGTGCCGGTCCGCCACCGCTGGCCGAGGAATGTGCGTCAGGTGAACAGACCTCGGGCGTACCCCCGGGGCGGCGATGGCAGCGGGAGAGGACCGGTGGGTGGTGGGATGGTAGACTGTTTACGACATTTTGTGTACAAGTTTTATAGCATTTACGTAAACTTTATATGACGGAAGTAGCATAAAGGTCATTTAGCCTTTTGCAGAAGTCGGCATTCACCAGCATGGACACTGCTCATGGTGCCCACTGCCCATATCTATCGCTCTGTGCCCTACAGAACCGTCGTCTTTCGAAAAGTGGCCGATCTCTCTCTCTCTCTCTCTCTCTCTCTCTCTCTCTCTCTCTCTCTCTCTCTCTCTCTCTCTCTCTCCCACACCCTACTCCACCCGCCTGGCACAACGTCCACAAGCACCAGATACCACGACTTCTTACACCGTGAAGCACTTGGTCGGTCCGATACCGCTGCGTCCCACCCGGCGGGTGCACTCACCGACTGATAACAACGATAGGAGGACGCCGCCCGAGCATTAGCACTATCTTATCGGGTAGTGAAGTCACTTCGCCACCAACCGCCGCCGCCCGAACGCTGGTCCACCGCTCGCCGTCCGGTGCCGGGCTGGTGCCTGTACTATGATGCCCGTCCGTCCGTCCGTCCACTGTCCACCGTCCACTGCCAGCGCCCGTCCAACATCCGTCCGTCTGTCCACTGCTAATAGCTCGTCCACCTGTCCACCGCCAGTTCACTATTCACCTCCACCGTCCACCATCCACCATCCGCCATCCGCTATCCATCGTCCACCATCCACCATCCGCCATCAACCAACCACCGTCCACTATCCATCGTCCACAGTGCACCGTCCACCGCCCGCCCGCTATCCACCATCTACTACCCACTATCCACTATCCACCGTCCACCATCCACCATCTGCCATCAACCATCCACTATCCACCGTCCACCATCCACCGTCCACCATCCACCATCCACCGTCTACCATCCACCGTCCACCATCCACCATCCACCATCCACCGTCTACCATCCACTACACATCATCCGCCGTCCGCTCGTCCACCTGTCGCTGTCTTCCTACCGCGCCAACAAGCTGTCGATCTTGTAAAGCATGGGGCTTTGGGTGGAATGCGGCAAAAAAGCCAAACTCAGCGATAATGTGTCCGGAGACGCGTCCAGCTTTCTCCTCCGTCAAATCGGTGGGATTCTTCGCTGTTAATGACATGGTGTCTACTCGTTTGAGAGCTCGAGGTTTTGGGCCAAAGAACGGCTTTTAAGATGGTGTGGCGGCGATATCTCGATTGAAGGGAAGGAGTATGAAATTTGCCTTTTCGGTCGGTTTAATGTCTGATCTTGTGGTAGAAACATGGCTATTGGTGTGATGATCATGCTTTAAAGGCCTTCTTTGTGGCGCAATTCCATATTTCGATGTTCCTGAATCTCGATACGATAATATTCGTCAATGATTATTGGATATGTTCCTCACATGCTGCGTAGCATTGCTTGTAAAGCGTATTCTTATGTAATTTAACTTTATTTTATATGGAGAGCTGATCTTAGTAAAGCATTTTGTGACACCGTCATCTACGTCCGAGCCCCCCCCCCCCTCTCTCTCTCTCTCTCTCTCTCTCTCTCTCTCTCTCTCTCCCTCTCTCTGACACTCCTCCCCTCTCTACCCACAGTGGTCTGGCGCACGGCTCACCCGGCCACGTGACGGTCGTCTCCCTGGGCTGTGCCGCCGGCCAGGTCGAGTGGCGCTATCCTCAGGGCGCTCTTCGGGTGTCCCTCGATCCATCCAACGCCTTCGACTTCCGCGCCTGTCTTCGCGTCGAGAACGGCAGCCGTGGCGCGCGTCTCTTCGTCGAGGGTCATCGACGTCTTCAACTTCTTTGGGCGGAGGATGATGGCCAGGCAGTTGACAAGTGGCGATGCTTCGCTTCGCGCGGAGGCTCGGCTTCGCTGTATGTGGAGGCGCCTGGCGAAGCAGCGGACCCGCTAGGAAGGAGTGGGGTGACGTTCGAGTATGATGCTCAGCCGACCGAGACTGGACGGCTGTGGGATGACATGGAAGGTGAGTGGGCCTGCGGGCAACCATGGGGACTTGGTGGTGTTGGTGTTGGCGGTGGTGACGTCGCTGTGGATGGTACTGGTGGTGGTGTTACACTTGTAGCTTGACTTTTGGTGGGGCTGTTGATAAATTTAGTGCTGTGGGTGTCATTATGGGAGAAGATGTTGCTATTTATGGAGCTGTCGTTAGAGGTGTTGGCGTGCTGCTGAAGCTGTTTGTGCTGCTGTTGGAAGTGTTGCTGGTCGTGCTGTTGATGATGATGTTGGTAATGCTGTGCAATGCGCATGGAGATGTCTATAGTGCTCTTGGTGAGATGTCTATTGAGAGATGCTGCCAGATAGCTTGTTGATGGTGCCATTTGCTTTTCGTCTCTGACTGGTTTTCTTAGATCAGAATCGTATACCCGGGAACCGTCAAAAGTTTGTCTCCGAGGACCTCACTGCTCATTTCAGATTCGTTGGCGTGGGCCATTATCGTTCGAATATGGGTGCTCTGTATGTCGGTGAAAGCTGATCTGCAGGGGGTAGCCCTTGGAAATGACTGTCCGAGTTCAAACCTGTATGATAAATCGCTGCATTGTACCAAATTAGCGGATCACCAAATTATTCCGGACCGTTGCATTGTACCGATGACCTCGTATGAGGGTACATAAACATAAACATGTAATTTAGTGGACCACTTACGTCTCGCCCGAGCCGGGAGACTCGGCGGGTGCTCTCGGACCCCGCCGCAGGGCGCTCACGACCGCTGCAGCGAAAGTGTGGACCGGGCTGGACTGTTACACAACCGACAGTCGAGTGTTGGCGCTGGCGAGTTGACCAGGCTGACCGGTCGGGGGCGGCTTCGCCTGCGGTTTAGCGCTAGTCGGCGGCCCTCGCTTTGATCACCGGCCGTGACAGCCAGCGGCAAGTTGCCGTGGCCGATGCAGTCCAATGCAAAACAGTGAGATCATTCATATTCAGTCTCAACCCTGCCGTAGGGCACGTCTCGACCATATAGGAAGAAGATAGGCAAAAAGGGATGGCAGCACGCGTCCAGAAGCGCAATAGATCCTCTGAATAAATTCCTCATTTTCTTGCGACGTCCGCCTCTCAGCTTTTGATGGAGCTGACTCGGCGAGACGTTTTTCTGATCGGCTATCACATTCACGCGAGTTTCATACATGCCAATGTGCGGGTCGTGCCTGAATTACGCCGGTTCTCGATTGGCAAATCTCGTATGTCGGGTTTTTACACCCACTGCGGTTGTCGATATATTGAATCCATACATTATTCATTAGATGTCAGAGTTCTTTTTCGTTGTTCTCGAGTACTCGGTCTTCCTGAGTGAAGTCGACGCTGACCGCACTTCTTGCGCTGCTCGTGACTAAAAACACTTGGCATGATTGGAAGCCTGGGCAAGCGCATTTTCATGCGAGTTATCAGTATGGTTCGATCAACTTTTAGCCGGCTAACCCTCGATACCTATTCGATTAACCGTCGTGCCGAAGGTGATGGTTACAATATTGCAACTATCAAGTCCTTCGCTAGGTTCTGATGACCTTTCTTACCATCTCCTCTTATGTTTTATACGCCAAATCCCTGCAGGGTGTCTCAGATAGGCGGTAATGAACCCTGGGTCACGTTCAACCCAACTGTCGTCGGCACTGATAAATGAACCCTTCTTCGACACTTACAGAAAAAGGAACACGATAAGAGCGTGGGAATGAGACACTAACAACTAATTCTTCAGAGAAAGAGGTACCGGGTGTGTATTTTAATGATAAAATCGGCCAAATTCGAACTGCGCTATCGTGTAGGTATACTTGTTCTAAATTAAAATGTATTTTTTGTGCTTTCGGGATTTATTTGATGAATCTTCCGGAAGTCGTGAAAGCGATGCTCAGAACACTTGCATCTGTCAGACCATTTCCACATTCAGTCTAATCACGACAGTGAGCTCATTCTCACACATTCTCTGAGCTCACGGCATCCCACGCATTTTCTCGATCGACCCCAGATGTGTCTCTCATTCCCGTAGCGGCGCATGCGGGAGGGCGTTTCCCAGCGCTTCAGGCACGCCGAAACTTCGATCTTTGACGCGCCTAGTCATCGGGTCAGGCTGTCTCTGTCATTGGGTCTTGTTGTTATCAGCGTCACAGATGTGTGAGGCGTCATTGGATGACATCAGCCGTCACCGGGCGTCATGGGACGTCATCGAACTTCATTGTACGTCATCGAACGCTACCAAACGTCATCAGAAGTCATGGGACGTCATCGAGTGTCTCAGACATCATTGTACGTCACCAAACGTCATCACATGCCGTCTAACGTCATCGTACGTCTCCGGACGTCATCAAACGTCATCCCGCTAAGAGCCGACCCTCCGAGGCTGGGATCGAACCGTGGGAACGCACACGGTGGCGGTAAACACTACAGTCGGCCCTCCGGTGCCCGGCTAGAGAAGCGCGGGAACAACACAGTCTTGACCTCGCCGGGATGCGCCACTCCCGCCACCGCCGCCGCCGCCGCCGGTGCGCGCTTTCCTCTTCCTGGATAGCGGGAAATATTGGCGCGCTTTCTGTGCAGGAGGGTGAGGTGTTCATGGCGGCTTGGATTAGGAGAGAGTGGGAGGGATTAAGTAGAGGGGGAAGAGTGTGGGAGGAGGATGAGGAAGAGGACTGGAGGTTGTCCCGAGGACGCTTGCGGTCGTCCGTTTTCCTGTTGGTCATTCGCCATTGTTGGTAGTTCACACTGTAAAGTGAGCGAGGACACGTCAACCACCGTCCACTTGTCTAGCCCATTGTGTTAATTGGTGTGACCTTATGCAACCAGTGGCCATTGTGAACGCTATCAGGCCGGGCACGGGCGAGCGATATGGCCACGTTCGCTGTCCAGGCCACAATGGCTCGGTCTGGACTCGGTGTTCATTGTCTGACGACTCACAATTGGTCACAGCTGTCCGTCCAGTTGTCCATCCTTGACCAAAGTAGGTATCATTTCGTCTTGGTGAGATTATTTAGTACTTTGGAGTTCAGGCCCCTTCCTTGTCTATGCCGGCGGGAAATATGTAGGGAAAAAAAGGAGTGTTTGTCCGCACGTGCCGTGACAGGTGTGTTTCTAAATTCGCCTATCCGCGTGAAATCGGACATTATCACATTACATGAATAGGATAAACAAATAGCATTACATGATCAGTCCCTTATGATTTACTTCGTTCATCCATGCTTTTGTTATGAGTTATCTGTAATAAAGAGACTTGCTGAGTTCATGGCGATAGGCGTATTGTTGCACAAAACATTGAGGCTAAACAACTAAATACCTCCTTTTAATTAATCACAATTCTGAACTATCAAAGTCATCGACAGAGGTTTCAAATTATAATGCGGATCCGTCTTGCTGGACTGAGGTGCGAGCTATAACGTTCCGTTGGGTAGAAAAGGGGAGGGCGATATTCATGTGCTCATTACAACACCGGTGGCGGTGGTGCACAACGATGTCGCAACACCATGGGGGAGCCGTCACGATCGCTTCTTGGAGATCGGGTGCAGTGGAAAATGCCGACGATGGGGTTCAGTATGAGACCCAGGCACGCAGCGCTGCCCTGGTAGCGGATTTTATAGCCAACAGCGGCTCTGGTCGATCACTGGAACTTGTGAAGTGTTCTTGGATTGAGTGGGGCAGCCATAGAGCCGCAGGAGAGTAACAGCATCTCTCTCTCTCTCTCTCTCTCTCTCTCTCTCTCTCTCTCTCTCTCTCTCTCTCTCTCTCTCTCTCTCTCTCTCTCTCCTTCGTCTATCTGTTTGTCTATCTATCTATCTACATATATCTATCTACCTCTCTGTCTCTATCCTTTCGCTGATTCACTATTCACGTGACGAGTGCGCCTCTCCCAGCCGTGAACAGTTGTTTTTGTTTGCCATGCGATTTCTACGTGGCAGCCCTTCTTATCCATTCTGCTTCATTGCCCAAGTGTTAAGTACGCTTTCTTCTGTCACGGAGGGTGTTGGGTCACGTGACCAGTGCGCCTCCTCAAGCCGTGGTCGTTTGTCCGTCACGTGACAGCGGGTCCCCTGACCATCCTTCCTGCCTAAATCCGGGCTGAGCTGCTTCTTTGACGACTTACGGACCCGAGTAAGAGGATCAGAGGTGCTCGGTTACCGAGAGGTCACTGGCTTGTTGTCCTGACTGTCCCGCAACCATGGGACAGCTGAGAGAACTTCGGGACCGGGGTACTGGCTCAGCTGGGGGTTTGCCAGTGGAAAGACTAGGCGAAGGGTTTGTATTGTAGTAGAACTATTCAAGAAATATGGGCTTCCTAGTTTGTCCGCTTTTTCGTGTGGTGAAACATCTTTAAGAGCTGCCTTCCTGTCCATCCCGGGTTTAATCTCGGTTTGGCTTAGATAATTTAGGCTTGGAATTCCTGGCTGAACCATTTTGAGCTACTGTGTAAAGCAGCCACTCTTCCTGTTCAAAAACCATAGGCAAACATCTCTTGCAGTATAATCTAACCACTTCAAAACCCGCTATCTAGTATCTACTCTCGACATAGGCACGAGACCTACCATTCTAATGCGGCAGCCGCGACCACACAGCTATTTGCCGCTCTAATTTGCCGTTTTTGCCACCACAACCTAACGACCATCCAACCCAGTCAAAGCAGCAAGCCTTTGCTGGCTCCTGCACGGGCCGGCCGGCTGAACGCTTTGCAAGCAAACGCTGCTCGCTTGAGGCGAAAGTAACGCAACCACCTGTTCAGGGTCGCCTGGCTGCGTTTGGGCATTACCTGCGTTGTATGTGTCGGTTGATAGGTGGGCTGCGCGCACGTGGCGTCGGTCGTGGGGTCAGAGGTCAGGGTGCTCAGAGACGGTGAGGTCGGTGGGGGGGGGGGGGGGCTTCAAGGTCACTGGATGCGTGGACCCGTTCGTAATAAAGTTTAGATAGCTGAGTTACTTAAACATTAATGTTAGCTTTTATAACATTTCAACCGTATAGGTACTGGTTAGTAACATTGCAATTGCACAA